GTTGTTGGCGTTGTTGGCGTTGTTGGCGTTGTTGGCGTTGTTGGCGTTGTTGGCGTTGTTGGTGTTGTTGGTGTTGTTGGTGTTGTTGGCGTTGTTGGCGTTGTTGGCGTGGTTGGCGTGGTTGGCGTTGTTGGTGTTGTTGGTGTTGTTGGTGTTGTTGTCGTCGTCGTTGTTGTTGTTGTATTTGAGGGGTGGGAACTATTTTGAGACGAAAGCCAGGGTTTGCCCCTTCCATGGTCAAAGGGACTTTCTCCTTGAGTGTAGAACCTGCCCAAAGGCCCCTTCCCGAGAATCATTCTCAAGACAGCGTCAAAGAAAGCTGTTGCATTCCATGTTTGGCCTGAAGGGTCTAAGCAAGGCCCCCAACTACCTTCTCTTGTAACTTGTAACTCCTTCCCTCACCATTTCTGATTTTAGGCAAAATTTCACAAAGCCGGCAACCCTCCCTTCCCGTTTCCAAGGTGCCACATAGCCCACGTCAAATGTCCCCACAAAACCCAAGGGGGATGGGTAATTGATTTTGTTCAGGCGAGAATTTGGTTGGCCCCCCATATCTCAATTCTCAACATTTCCAGATCCAAGTTTTCCCGCAATCACGGTTTCAGCCTGCAATAAGTTAGCAACCACCACTGAACCAGCCACATTGCGGCCAAAGGCGCAAAATCCCTATATAAACCCAAAACCCTGAACCCTAAACACCCTCAGCATGTTGCAAAGGCGATAAAAAGAGGACTAAACCTAAATCTTAAAAGCTGAGACAATCGAATTTCCCCAAACTGATGCCAAAAAGAAGTATGGCCTCTTTTCTCGGTGTCTCCATCCCTTAAATGGAGCACCCCCTTACAGCCGCTTCAACGCTCCCGGAGCGACGCCCTTTTCGTCAGATCCCGGAGCTGAAGAAAGACGCAGAGAAGCTGGCGCTCAGCGCCAAGTCCGCGCAGGGACCCCAGGTAGACCTGGCGAGAACGGGCCGAACATTGGATGCCACTTGCTTGGCGCAAGCGATGGGAATCTGTGAGAAAGCCCCATGTGGCTGCATGGTGTCCTTTCTTTTGGGGAAAGAATTGTTTGCCTTGGAAATTCACCAACGAAGATATCTCGACATGTTCTCACATGTTTGACGCTAAGGGTGATTTGCTGAGTCGGAATGGATTGAGTGGTGGGAGTGGCCCATGCTTTTGGCGGGGGGTGACCGGGAGGGCTTGGGCTTTTCGAGTCCCTCACCCCGCCAGATGAGCCAGGGGCCTTCACAACCTCACTGACATCCTAGCCCTGGGGGTGGTCTGTCGGGTGCACTGCATTTTGATCAAAGGACATAAAGGACGTTGTTCAATTGGGCCTGGGGGTGCGTGCCCTGTGGCCAGTTGCTCAGTGGATTGCACCCTCTAAACCCCACTTTATGTGTTGATTGATTTATGTACTTACTTGTTGTTTGTTATTATTGTGTTATTAAGTCTATGTACGTATGTATTGATGTGTTTGTGTGTCCGGTTGCTCTTGTTGCTTGTTTATTTGCTTGTTTGCTTATGTGTTTATTTGTTTGTTTCTTTGTTTGTTTGGTTGTTGGTTTGTTTATTTGTTTGTTTGCGGGTTGGTTGGTTGGTTGGTTGGTTGGTTGGTTGGTTGGTTGGTTGGTTGGTTGGTTGGTTGGTTGGTTGGTTGGTTGGTTGGTTGGTTGGTTGGTTGGTTGGTTGGTTGGTGGTTATTTGACGATTTTTCCGTTGTTTACTTGCTTGTTTATTTATGTATTGGTTTATTGTTGTTCATGATTTAGGTACGTGTATATTTTTTGTGTGTCGTGTTTTGTTGTACTTGTTTGTTTGAGCTGTTAGTATGATGTATTTACTTATTTGTTTATTTGTTGCATGTTGAAATATGTTATGTATGTGGTTGTTTATTAGTTTTTGTTTGTTTGTCTATTTAGGTGTTTACTGATCTTAGTTATTTGTGTTCTGATTTGTGTATTTGTCTATTCAGGTGTCTGCTTTAGATTACACTATTTATTTGTTATGGATTCATTTACTGTTGATACTTAATTGCTTGGCTTGATCCATTGTAGATGCAGCAGAAGAAAGGGCCCCTGCCCGTGGATAGCGTGACAACCAGGGCAGTGGGTTGACCCACGTCAACGCCGAGAAGCCAACACTCCCATGCTCAGAGAGTATTGATTTCTGAAAACTAGCTGGATCTCTCCACAGGGTTGGCTTCCCTTTGGCTCATAGGATTCCAGGTAAAAAGATCTCGTTGTGTCCAGCTCTTGACTCGCGAAGGTTCGAGCATGAGGACACCCAAGAACTGAAGCACGGTGCCAAGGCCCGCCCATTGGTGGGTTGATCGGCTTCAGTGGTTAGCCATGGCTAGAGCCAACTGGGGGGGAGTGGCTCTGTGGTCACAACCCAGCCGTTTGCCAAAGGATTTTCTAGCACTGCTTTAATTACAATCCTAGCGGCTGACAATCCAGGTGTTAATTGGCCGTGACCTCATGGTCCTCACGGATTTGCTTTGGAGTGCCAATTTGCTCCTTCGCGCCGGCCGGCTGACTCGATTGCTCACTTGCTTCTTTCTTCCGCAAGCCCGGGACAACTGAGGTTGCTGAAGCCAATCCAAAGCCAAAAGGGTATTTAGACCAGCTTCTCTCCATCCGAACCTGCCAAACAACGTAGCACCTTGCAGTTGCTGAATGGTGGTTTCCAACTTTGGCTACAGAGTTGGTGACAAATGCGTTCACCGGCTGGTTCTTTCTTTTTGCTCCTATTTTCAGTATAGAAACTGTACGAATATGTTCGCAGCTCAATGGTACGAATTTCTCACTTTTCCATGTCCCTTTCCCCATTGAGCAGCAACCAAGGCCCAACTTTTGTAAGCTCATGGCCCCTGATACGCCGCCCTTCGGGTGCTTCTTTAGTGCATGCCAAGCTTTGAGAAGAACAGAAGTCGCCGGGGTAGAAAGAGTCATCTTCTACCCCCATGCTGTTGGATTCCATTTGAACTACTGTACTTTTTCCATTGCCATGGAGCCAGATGTGTGCGCGTGTGTGTGTGTGTCCCGGTCCGCGCCTGGCAGCTTCAGGAGTTTATGCAGGACCTGAAAGGCCTCTGGGAGAAGAATACCGATGAGGATCCGCTCATGTTCTCTGAAGAACTGCTGCTTCAGCCACGTGTCCCTGAAAAAAGGGAGCAAAGGCTGATTGTTTAAACAAATGTTGCCCAACCCTGATGAAAGCTCCCTAGTATTAAGAGTTGTTTGTTCGCCCTCAGAACAATGAATCGTCTACGAATTTTGGTAGTGTCTCTTTGGCCTGTCTTTGCTGAGCAAATATCATTTGTTTCCGTTACCACATGACTTGATTTCAACGCCCTGTGCCATGCATGAAGCCATGGTTGTGGCAAGGTTGGCTTTTTTGGGAATCAGGCGTGGGCATGGGAATGGAGTTGAAGCGGGTATGAGACAGCTCACTTGGGTACGACAAGTAACATGATTTTTCACTAGCAATTCATCAATACTGTGGTATGGGTTGGGATAAATGCGCACTGGGATAAACTGATCAACTCCTGAGTTTTCTCCACCCAATATTTGGGTTCACTCCAAGAACGCCTTACACTCTAATTAATTGGTTCATGAGTTCGGCCCTCTGGGTCGACTTTGGGTGTAACACTAAGAGCCACCAAAAGCTGCCAGCTTGGTCTGCGATTATCCTGAGCTGAAGAAACCCTGGTACGAGTGCAAATCACCGGTCGAAATATCATGGGGGTCTGTGTCATTCTGTGTCCAGATAGGGGGATCAGGCTCGTGGTTTTCCTTTGAGTCTTCCTTTTAAAAAGCACCCTAGAGAAGGATGCCAAATTCAAACCAATGGTTTTCCTGTTTCTCCGTTGGCGATAGCATGCACACGGAGACTGGCAGCCATGTACCGTTCAATGTTCTGTGTGCTGATGATTGTGCATTGCGCAGTGGATGTGAAATTGTCATGGGCCTCTAAGGATGGTTCCACCAAGGCGCTTCGGGAAGCTGGGAGACGGCAGTGGGCGGGTCTCCTCCGGTCCGGAAACCCAATGCCAATGGCAAGCCTTGAGAATGCCGAGTGCCGGCCTTGGCAACCAGAGCTCTGGCCATATGTGAACTCCTCAATCGACTGGACCTAAACCTTCCTCCAAAAACTGACCCTGAAGACTTAAATATCACAACTCCCGGGCCCACTTTCGATCCTAAAGCCGCCCAAACCCCAAAACCAACCCAAGAAAACCCGCCCGGCGCACCGACAGCGATCAGCGATCGCTCGAGGAGACCAAGCGGAAGGCCGCGCTGCTCTTGGGCAGGGCTCACACTTTGCTGAAGGGCGCCCAGGACGGCTCGAGCCGTCGCTCCCGCTTTTTTTTTCTTCTTTTTCTGGGGCCCGGAAAAGCCAAGAAAAATGCAAGGCCCAGGTGGTCGCTGTGTTTGATTGTGTTTTTCTTCTTTTTTTCGGGGGCCCGGAAAAGCCAAAAAGAGTTGAAAGGTCCGGGTGGTGGTGTCTGATTTTTTTGGGGGGGGTCGTGGGCCGGAGGCAAAAAAGGCCCAGGTTGTGGTGTTGTCTTTTTTGAGCAGAACCCCGGATCAAATCATGAATAGACTTCAGGCATTTTTTCGAGTGGGATTGTTGATTCCTCCGGAAGTGATGCACAAGTGTTAAGATGACTGTGTTTGGGGTGAGGGCGGGCGCGAAAAGGGGACGCATAGGGACCCCGTTTCTGCATCTGATGTTTACACTTCCCCAGACGATTCTATGGAAAGAATCGATGACTCCGAAAGAAAGAATGAAGCCTGCTGCCTCCCAAAAAGCCCCAAGGAAAAGCCACCAAACCCTGAATGGAAAGTCCCAAGCTGCAAGGGCTTTATGGGCAACCCAAAAAAGAAGCACGCAAAAGCAAGCAAGGCAAAGATGAGACCACAGCCCCTCCCCCAAGCCCCGAAAAGGAAGAGGCGCAGACAGACAAACCCCAAGAGACAACTGCGCCGGATGGTCTCCAGAGCCAGCTCTTGTGCTAGCAACAACTAACAAGTAGTAAGAACCATAATAAAATGTCATCTCGATATGCCGGGATTTTGGGTAACCTCCGAAGTCTTCGTCATCCCCCCGATTTGGCCTCGCGGCTCCCAGGACCAAGTTCAAGAGATGCCAAGCTTGGACCAACTGGTGCAGCCGGCACTGCCGCAGGCGGGCTGGGATTTCCAGGAAGGCCAAGCTTGGCTCTTTTTCGGTTTCGTCATAGCCCGAGTTTTGTGGGAAGGTAGAGTCATGGGATAAGAGCTTTGATTCAGGAACTTTGGCGGTTTGTCCGTCAGGTGGTGTTTTTTTTTGAGTCTTGCCGTGACAAGCAGCCAACTAAATGGTGTCTTGCGACACGGCGACCTGGGGCTCAAAAAAAAGAATGAGCCCATCACTCAACGTGAGCAAAACAAGTGCACCCATGATGAAGCTCTCGTACTTGGAGGAGGATTTCCTTACTACTACTAGTTTGATACCTCATTTTGCACTGGTTTGAAGCCAAAGGCAAACCAGACCAAAGCAACGCCCTCTTCACAGGCAGCCAGCCACCAGAAACCAGAAATGGCGATTGATTTTCTTCTTCTTTGGGGGCGGGGGAAGCTCCACTTAGTTTTTGCTCCGTCACAGGCCCTTTGGCAAGCGTTTTTTCTGGGGAAGAGGACCTGGGTGAATTCGGGTTCCCACCCGTTACCCCCTTCGATGTATCCCTTACGATTTGTTTACCGGCTCATTTTAAGTCTGCACCCCGGGCCACCAGCCAACTTGCCTTCTGGCCCTGAAGCCCTGTAAACGGAAATGAACATGGTCCTTCCCCTCCCACAAATTGCAGGAATTCTCCTTAGCCAGTCACCTTGAAATGGTCCTTTGGACAGCTGAGCATGTTGCGCGTCATCTAAGTGTTGTTTATTCATTATTTCTTCTTGACTGTATATACATGTCTTATCATATCATGATTGACACGTCACGATAATGCGTAGTTTAGACTAAATTTTAATTGTAAGTGTGATATGTTAGAGCAATGTTACCGCAATCAAATGGTCCAAAGAAGCAACACATGTAATATTTTAAGAACATGATTGGAGGCGAAGGAGATGCTCAAGGAGGCGATCAGTGGCAGAGGGAACCTGATGAACGCCATGCAGGGTCAGCAGGCCGCAAATCTCGCCAAGAAGGCGCGGGAGAGGGTGGCGGGTTGGGTCGCGCCGCGTTTTTTTCTTTCTCGCTGTGGTTCTTTCATTGGTGCCTTTGGTGGAAGTCGATTGTGTCAACCTCACTGCAGATATAATGAGGCCCCAAACTCCAAAGTGGTGAGATTCCCCGATGGTTTTCACTGGGTGTTTGTGTTCGCGTTGGTGCGTGTTGCTGCGTGTTGCTGCGTGTTCCTCCGTGTCGCTCCGTGTCGCTCCGTGTGGCTCCGTGTTGCTCCGTGTTGCTGCGTGTTGCTGCGTGTTGCTGCGTGTTGCTGCGTGTTGCTGCGTGTTGCTGCGTGTTGCTGCGCGTTGCTGCGCGTTGCTGCGCGTTGCTGCGTGTTGCTGCGTGTTGCTGCGTGTTGCTGCGTGTTGCTGCGTGTTGCTGCGTGTTGCTCCGCGTTGCTCCGTGTTGCTCCGTGTTGCTCCGTGTTGCTCCGTGTTGCTGCGTGTTGCTCCGTGTTGCTGCGTGTTGCTGCGTGTTGCTGCGTGTTGCTGCGTGTTGCTCCGTATTGCTCCGTGTTGCTCCGTGTTGCTTGCTCCGTGTTGCTCCGTGTTCCTCCGTGTTCCTCCGTGTTCCTCCGTGTTTCTGGGGATAGGCATCAAAAAAACTTATTAGGCATCAAAACACAACTTATTAGGCATCAAAAAACTTATTAGGCATCAAAAAACCTATGCTCATTTCTATGGGGGGAAGGAAGAAAGGAAGGAAGGAAGGAAGGAAGGAAGGAAGGAAGGAAGGAAGGAAGGAAGGAAGGAAGGAAGAAAGGACCCCCCCCAACCACCCCGCTGATTTGTAGAAGGTTGACAGTGAATAACGCACCCTTTGCTGAATCATCACTTCTTCGAGCATCATGGGGGGGGCTGCCGCCCCCCCCAACCCCCCTGCTGATTTTCAGAATGTTTGCAGAGATTACCGCACCCCTTTGCTGAATCATCACTTCTTCGATCATCACCACCCTTTGTTGAATCATCAGATCTTCAAACATCATGGGGGGGCCGCCCCCCCCCCCAAACCCCCCTGCTGATTTGTAGAATGCTTACAGAGCTCAGCGCACCCCTTGTTGAATCTTCACTTCCTCGAACATCATGGGGGGGGCTGCCGCCACCCCCCCCCCCCCCAACCCCCCGCTGATTTAATGCTGCGCCTGCGTCAAACTCTGCACCGTACCTTGCGAAAGTGCTGCGCCTGCCGCGAAATCTGGACCGCCCCTTGCGAAAGTATTGCACCTGCCGCGAATCTGTACCTGACCTTGCTAATGTGCTGCGCCTGCTGCGAAATCTGT